GTCCTCACCCCGGGTTCCGTTGGACAAGCCACCGGGGCTGATGCCATGGAAGAGGAATCCCGGGCTGCCCCGGGGCGGGAGGGCACTCAGCAGGTAGTAGAGGCAGCCGTGCAGGGCCTGCTGCAGGGCCGGGGGCCCGTCCAGCTCCACGGAGCAGCCCCGGCGCAGCGCGGCCCAGGCGTGGGTGTGGGAGTGGAGCAGGGCCCCCGTGGCCATCAGGGACAGCCCCTCATCGTAGCTCCGCTTGGCCTCCTCCTCGCTCTCGGCCACGGCCGTCAGGAACTCCCAGGAGCGCTCCTGCTCCTCCCCATCCAGTGTCAGGGAGGGTGGGACGGGGGTCCAGAGCATGTGAACGGTGGGACGGGGTCCCCCCTCCACCTCAGGAACCAGCGTCTGCCCGTGGATGTAGCTGTGGGAGACAGGGAGGGATGGGGCAGGGAGCATGGGGCAGGGGGGACCCCATGCACATCCAACACCCAGAGGGGACTCCAAGGTGCCAGGCTCCCATTCCCAGATGGAAACTCCCTCATCCCCACACTTCAGCTCCGCTGCTGTCCCATCCCCAACGTGCTGAGATTCGTCAGAGAATCCCAGAATGGTTTTACTTGGAAGGGACCTTAAAGCCCATCCAGTCCCACCCCCTGCCATGGGACACCTTCCACTATCCCAGGTTGCTCCAAGCCCCGTCCAGCCTGGCCTTGGACACTGCCAGGGATGGGGCAGCCACAGCTTCTCTGGGCAACCTGGGCCAGGGCCTCACCACCCTCACAGGGAAGGATTTCTTCCCGATATCCCATCTAACCTTGCCCTCTTTCAGTGCAAAGCCACAACAAATGGTCCCCAGTCCCAGGAATCTAGTTCTGAAGGTCATCTCCTCCAAACTCCCCATCTTGCCCAGTCTCACTTCTTTGGAATCACATCTGAACCCTGGGGCCTTTGTTGCTCTTACACATCGGTGTAAGGGATAATTCTGGAGTTGCAACCTTATAAAAATGTTTCTATGCTTAATTTGAGGGGAAGTTTTATACACCTGCCAGGAAAAAGTAGGTGTGCAGAAGCCTCCACGCCACACACCAATCCAGCCCCACACCACCCATCATTCCAGCCCAGCTCCAGCCTCACATCTGCAGTTTAGTCCCCAGAGGAGAGTGGGCAGTGTGCCACAGCCCACAGAGGGTGGGCTCAGGGCAGGGACCCCCATCCTCCACACTCACTGTGCTCCCTGGAAGTCTGGCCCTGGGAGCAGGTCCAGGTCCTGGCTCTGTGGCACAAACAGGGTCTGGAGGTGGACTGTGATGGGCTGTGTGGAGCGATCCAAGCGCCGGATGGTGATGCTGAAGGCCATCAAGTGGACCAGGGAGTGGTGGGCGTAGAGCTGCTGGGTGGCCACATAACCAGGGCACTGAATTGTGTGGCTGAAGGTCCCTGTAAGCACAGCGAGAGCCTTTGGCACCTGCAGGTCCTGGTGTTCTCTCCCAGATTCCTACCCCTTCCCTATCTACTGGTTCCTGCTGGCCTCTCTCCCAGGTCCAGATCCAGCTGTTGACACTGCGCCTGGCCGAGCTGCTGAGGGATGGTTTGTGCCATCAAACATTTTATCAGGCTTCATGATTTGCTAAGCCTGCCCCCAGCAGGGACTGAGCTACAGCCTGAAAACTGAAACCTGTTTATTTTATTGTTATATTACTTACACATGAAAGGGGCTCATGAGTGAAACTTATTGTATGAAAGGGGAATTTTTCCGGTTGCTTCAGAAGAACAACACCCCGAGGCGAACAGAGAACGAGAAGAGGTGACTGTACCGAAGTGAGAATTTAACCTCCGGGAGAGGGCAGGGAAGGAGCCCGAGGGGAAGGTGTGTGTCTCCGTGGCAGATTTCGGATGGGGAGGTTCCTCCCTGCTCCCAGCTCACCTGTCCGGGTGTCCAGGGTGAAAGTCTCGGCGAGGCTGTCCATGCCGGGCACTGCCACCCTCACGCCGAGGGGGCTGGGGACGTCGGCGCGGTGGGTGTCCCCCGCGGCCCCGCTGTACACGCCACCCACGTGCAGGATGTCGCGGAACACGCGGGTGCCCAGGCACGCGTTGGTCACCGTGGGCAGCAGCCGCGGGTCCATGGGCAGCGCCCGGGCCGTGAACACTGCGGGGTCCCCCTCGGCCATCGCTGCCACCCCCACCTGCGGAGCGGCACAGCCGGGACGGGGGGTGAGGGGACAAGCTGCTGCTCCGCTCCCCGGCACGTCCCCTCCCGGGACGCCCTGGCCACCACAGAGGTGCTGCTCGCCTGCCACCAGCCATCTCCAGCCCTTTTAGAGTCCTCTCTGATCACCCTCAGTGGTTTTCCTCCATCCCAGTTCCCTCTCCACCCCCTCGCCCCATCCCAGCATCTCCTGCAGCTCAGGCTTCATCACCCCACAGGCTTCATCACTTCTCAACCTTTCCCCTCTTCCTCTTCTGCTGCCCCCTCTGTGATGGGATTGCACCAGTTTCTCCCAACACACACAGCCACCTTCCTCTTCTGGCCTCCTCTTCCTCCCGAGTGATGTTCTGTGACACTTTGAAACACTCTGTGTCTCCTGAGCTTCCCCCTTTCCCAGCTCACTGCACCTCCCAGTTCCCCCTCACTCCTGCACCTCCAGCTCAGCTTCCTGGGGCAGGAGCTTTCTATTTCATTGGTAGATTTACAAACATATTTGTTTCGTGTATAAATATATATATAATTAAAGACTAAAGATACCTACAGATACAGAAACGTGTAAACAGCACCTGACAAAAGGGAGCTGCAGCTGGCTCCTGGCAATGCTGGGCACTGGAATAACACAGGAATGATGAAATGAGGCTCTGAGAGACTCTGGGCAGAGCTGGGAATCCAGCCGGGGTAACACGGGGTCAGGGAAGGCCCCCAAATCCCTCCCTGACAGCAGCCAGATGCAGCAGCTTTCAGGCTCAGCTCGGTTCCCTCACTTAGACTGAACCGGGAGGAAGATCCTGCCTTCGGGAAAGTTAAAAATCCCACCCCAGCCCAAGCCCAAGGGTGCGGAAGCGAGGAGGTGGGTCTTGCCTTCGGTCCGGGGCTGAGCCGAGCCCTGGCCCTGCAGGTGGAGAGAGGCTGTCCCAGGGAAGGACGGAAGTTGCCCGACCGAGAGAGAAGGAAGGAAATCGCTTTTTTTCCCCTTTAAAAAAAAAAAAAGTTAGAAAAATAAGCCTCCGAACGCAGCTGTTTGCCCAGCTCAGCTCAGTGCCTGCAGCGGGAGCACAGAGGTCCCGGCTCTGCCCCGTGCCCTGGGAAGGAGGAACTGAAAGAGAAAAACCAACTCGGACAATTTATGATCCAAAAGATGCCTGAGAACCGCAGTGGAGAGCCGGGAGGAGCAGCACAGCCCCCCCAGCCAGAGCCACACACCACGACCATCCCGTGTCCACACACCATGACCATCCCGTGTCCCCAGCCACGCTCTGACCCTTCTGCTCGCCTGTTTCCAGGGGGAGCAGACCTGGACTTTGGCTTTGGCACGCTTTTCCCAGCTTCCCTCCTGCCAGCCCTCTATCCCATCATGGCTTTTCCAGGTACAGCCCTGTCCCAGTGAGCCCCCACCCCGGCTTCCCGCACCCAGGGGTGCTGCTGGCATCCAGCTCCATTCCCCAAGTCCCTGACACCCCTCTCAGCTGGAGCAGCATTTCACTGAGTTATTCCCAAAGAGGGGACAAGAAAACCTCCATCATTCCCTGGTTGAGCTGCCCCACTCTCCGGGGCCGCAGGAGAAAGATCCACAGACACAGAATCTCAGAATGGTTTGGGTTAGAAGTGACCTTGAAGGCCATCTCATTCCAAGCCCCTCCATGGGCAGGGACACCTTCTACTAGCCCAGGTGGCTCCAAGTCCCATCCAGCTGGTCCCATCGTGGTGGGTCAGGGATTCAGGGGTGGCACCACTGGTCTCTCTTGCCCTGGTGCTCACAAGGATTATTTTATTAACCAATCCAGCACTTACCAGATTGACACTACACATCTGTCCTCCGCTGTAAATCCATGCAAAAGCCCCCGTGGAGCCTGGCTGGGTCAATCCTGTGGCTGCCAATACCCCAGGGGTGACTTGAGGAGACCATGACGAGCAGCAAAGGGCAGAGCCTGATCAGTAACGCCTGCTCTCACCTCTACTCTTTTTGTATTCCAGGATCGAATCCCAACTGTGCCCCAGCAGGATTCATTTGGCCTTTCACTTGTTCCTCACAGCCAGCAGCTGGTCCTGGCAAGGGCTGAGTCCAGGGCAGGGGCAGGAATAACCATCCCCAGGAGAGCAGCCAGGAATTCATGGGGGCTCTGCAGAATTGGAGCCCGCTCCAGCAGGTGCTGGCACAGGGGGATGAGGGGCAACCCCACCAGCACACATCCCACTTCCTCCCCATTATTAGAGCAATAAGGAATTCTAGACAGTCCTTTCCCGCAGAATGATGTTTTGAGCAGTATAAAATTTAAAAAGCCCACAGAAGAGGAGTTCTGCTCTGAGGGAAAAGGTGTTCTGCTCAAGGGAAAAGGTGTTCTGCTCAGGGAAAAGGTGTTCTGCTCAAGGGAAAAGGAGTTCTGCTCAAGGGGAAAAGAGTTCTGCTCAAGGGAAAAGGAGTTCTGCTCAAGGGAAAAGGAGTTCTGCTCAAGGGAAAAAGAGTTCTGCTCAAGGGAAAAAGGTCTGCTCCAAGGGAAGGGGAGGCCTCTGCTCTCCAGCAGAGCAGTGCAGTGTCCCCCTGTGCCAGCTGGGGACAGTTTTTGGGCTCAGAGCCTTGGGCAGTTGGGTGCTGCTGAGGGAAAAAAACCCTGAAAACAATTAAGGGAAGAAAAATTCAGCAGAGAACAATTCGGGAAAATCTTTCCACCTCAGGGTGTTCCGCCCCGTGCCCTCGGAGCGCAGCAGGTCCTGTGCCAAGAGGTGGCGGGGGGGGGTGTGGGGTGGTGGCAGCAGTGACAGTGACAAGCTGGGCAGCTGCAGAGAGCCAGGAGCAGTGGGATTGCCCTGACAGCGCCATGAGGGTCTTCCAGAGGGGCTCCCAGCTCCTGGCGGCCACACTGCGGACCCCCCACGCCCCCCGCGCCCAGATCAGGTCCCGCCCCCCCGAGGACCCGCTCTCTGCCGCCGTGAGTACCTGGGGGGGCTAAAAAAGGGGGGACAACCCCGTTGGAAGGGCCCAAACCCCCATGTTAGGGACAAATTATTTTTGATGGGGGTGGAGGTGAAAGGGGAGAGGGAGGCAGAGGAGGAAGGTGCCCCCAAGGTCCAGCCCTCACCCCCACAGGGGTCCGTGCCCTGCGCCCCCCCATCCTCAGGCTCCTGTTGCATTTTATCCTTTCAAGTCCCTTTTTAAACCTTTGGGGTTTGGGGCACAGATTTAGTGTCCCCTGCAGCCCAGAGTGTCACCCAGGGACGTGAAGCCATGGGACAGCAGGACACTGGTGGTCCCTCAGGGGCAGACCTGGGCCCAGTGCCCCCATCCTGGGACACTCAGCCCAAAGCCAGTGTCCCCATGGACAAGGACAGGGGCTGCTGTCACCGCAGAGCCTGTAGGTCCCTCTAACACTCCCCCCTCTGGGGATGGTCCCTCCCAATCCAGATCCTCCTGGGCAGGTTGAAACAAGCCGGGGAAAAAGGAGCTTTTCACCAAAATCCTGGCTGGTTCCCCCTCCACCCCTTGTCTGGGCAGTTTTCCCCCTGCTGCCTTTCCAAGGTCTGTAACAAAGCACCGCACGAGCCTGGAGATGCTTTTTCCAGCCAAATAAGTGAAAGGAAGGTGCCAGTGCAGGGGGTTGATGCTGTCCCGGTGCACCAGAGAAAGGAGGGGCTGCTGCTGGCTGCAATTTCCAAAGTCATCTGAAAGTCAGGCACAGCTGCCTCTGGAAACGCTGAGGGCCCTGGCCAGAGCCTCAAGGTCATGCACTGCTCCAGTTTGCCAGTGAATATCCCGGCAGAGAAACGTGGAGAGATGGAAACAACGAGCCTGGAGAGCACCAGGTCCCTCTGCTGCCAGTGGGAACGGCTGTGCTTCCCAAACCTCCCTCCATGGCCCCACAGCGGGTCCATCCCACAGCCACGGGGCTGGGAAGAGCTCAGAGAAGTGAGCTGGGTCTGTGCTGTTGGACGGCTCCAGCGGAGCCATCCCGGGAGCCCCGTGCACCGTGGCCGTGGCACAGCCATCCCAGGAGCCCCACAAATCATGGAACAGCCATCCCAGGAGCCCCCACACCATGGCACAGCCGCCCCAGGAGCCCCCATACCATGGCACAGCCGTCCCAAGAGCCCCCCCCCCACATCCCATGGCCCAGCCATCCCACTGATTCCTGTTCCTTCTCCCCCTCAGGAGCAAGGCATCGCCTTGGCTGCAATGTTCACCTCATTCCTGCTGCCCACAGCCTGGGTCCTGGCCCACATAGACCACTACAAGGCCAGGCCGGAGTGAGGAGTGGCAGGAGCAGCCTGTTCCCCGCTGAGAGAATCCTGAGGGAAGAGCCCCCGGGACGGACCCTCTCTGGGATGGAACCCCCCAGGCCTGTTCATTAAAATTCACTTTTGCATTCAGCACAACGGCTCCTCGGATTTGCCTCATCCACGTGGGCGTCCGTAGGGAATGACCTGGAACCCTGTCCTGAAGGCAGCATTCCCTCGCAGCGGGCTCCAGCGGGAAGGGATATTCCCTCTGGAGCTTTTACCTGCTGCAGCTGCAGAGCAGCACAGGGCAGGCACCCAGTCACCTCTCCCAGCACAAGCAAGGAAGCAAAGCCAAGGCGAATTCCTGGTAGGAAAACACCCAAAGGCTGGAAGTGACATTAAAAGGGTCCCACGGGCACCTGACTGCCCCCCTCCCTGCACAAAGGGCATTCCACCCACCACATCCCAAATTACCTGTGTCAGGGAAGCAGCCAGCACATGAGAAAGGTCAGGTAGCAAAAGGTACTTCCAGATATCTTGGAAAAACCTCTGAAGCTGTCACAGATCCACAGATCTCATCTCCATTACTGGGAGCTGCTTGGAGCTTCGCAGCCAGGCCAGTGCTCCCACAGCACAGGGGCTGTCGGAATCCTCCTGGGAGAAGCTGTTAGTGCTTCCCACAGTGACATTCTGGGTTTTTGATGCTGATCTCAAGCAGCAGCGGCCCCACAACTCGCTGGCTCAGGTGGAGCTTCCTCCATCCCAAAGTGTAGGGACACGGCCCTGGGAATGAGGGCAAGATCTGACACAGCACTGGGAAAGGAGACTGTGCTCCTTAAAGCCTTTTCCTGTCCTTAACTGTGAAATGAAGGGAACAGTTTCCAGAACACTTGTCTCCTCCACACGCTCTCCTGAAGTCAGCAAAAGTGACAGGAATGAGTGTTGGAAGACAAGATGCAGCAGGAACTGGGAAAGTCAAATCCAACAGTTGAACTGACAGGGAAAAGGCAGGCACTGGGCACTGAACACCCCCCATCCAGGAAGGAATTTTGGCCAGAAGGGCCTGGAAAGCAGCAGTAGGAGGGTGAGCAGGTACAGACTCATGAATCCCAGCAGTGACAAGGACTGACCACAGATACATTGGCAGCAGCTTTTAAAAATCCACCAACACCCCAGGGAATTTAACGAGATCCATGGACACAACTCCATTCAATCTGAAGTCACTGCTATAACTCCCCGTGCCACGTGCTGTCCTGCCTCACAACAAGGAGTTCATGCATCCCTAGGGTCACTGGGAGGGATCCAGCTCAGATCCCCATTTGTTCCACATTCTCAACCTGCACAAAAAAACTTCCACCCCAGAAAACCACGAAAGCAACAGGACAAACAGTTCCCACGGGAAGACAATTCCCTCACAGAAGAGCTTTTAAAGCCATTGTTAAGAATCAAAAGCAGAACAAAAACCTGTCCCTGCCCTGGTTTCAGCTCTCAGTCCATTACAATTAGCTTGGGAACAGCGACCAGGGCTGGAATTCCCCACCAAAGGAACCTGACCAGGTTCACGCCCAGGTACCATGTGCTCCATGCTTACACACTGATCCCACCGGAGACTGGCAGGTTTAAAGCTGGATTACTCTGGGAAAGGGGTTTGCAATGTGAAACCGAGGAGGAAATGTAACACTCGCGGGGGGGGGGGGGGAATGTGTTTTTAAAGGGATGAAGATGACACAGGATTCCAGAAAAGGGAAGGCAGAGACGTTTATTCCGGCAATGCCGCTGCACCTCACCTGAGCACAAAGCGCTGGTGAAAGACAAACCACGCCCTCAAGTGTGTGAACACACCCACTAACCGGGATTCCCGGGAAAACCCTTGGATGGAGCAAACACTCCCTCTACTGCAAATGAGGAGGGGTGAAGGGAGGATGATTTGGGGAAGAGGACTGAGGGAATGCTGCCTTGGGGCTGCTGCAGGCGCAGGGGGAGAGGGCAGCGGGGCTGGCTGTGCCCCCTAAGGCCAAGACCCCTCGGTACCTGCACCAGGATCCCACCCTCCCGCAGCAGCTGGAGGCAGGAGGGATTGGGAGCGATCCTTCCCCCCCCAAGGACGGAGCTCTGGGATCAGAGCCACTCGTGTCAGCAGAGGGAAAGCCTGACTCAAGCACCAAAGGGTCGCACAGCAAAAGGCCACGTACTCCTCCGAAATACATCCCATGCTGCTCCCCCTGTGCCCACCCACCCCCTCCATGGATTCAGTGCAGTCAGTGGTCTGAGTGCTGCCGGCCTCAGGAGCAGCAGGAATCACTCTCCCGGGGCCAGAGCCAGGCCCTCTATGTCAGGATGTCGTGGGCTTGGTGCTCCACCAGCATCTCCATGCTCCGCACGTCCGTGCACCAGAACTCCAGGCGGTCCTTCATCCCTTTGATCTGCAAGGCAAGGCCACGGTGACCCTGCGCCTCAGCTCCTGGGAATGCCCACGGGCACCTCCAGGGACACACACCTCAGACCCCAAACCACTCCTCAAAACCCCGCACACCGGGAAAGGGCGCTGTCCCATCCCTGGAAGTGTCCAGTGCCAGGTTGGATGGCGCTTGGAACAACCTGGTCTAGTGGAAGGTGTCCCTGCCCCTGGCAGGGGGTGGGACTGGATGGTCTTTAAGGTCCCTTCCATCCCAAACCATCCTGGGATTAACAGCTTCTACCAGCAAATCAGCAACTGTTAAAAGTTAAATGGAAATGCACCAAAGGAGTTCCTTGCAGCTGGAATTTCATATACTCATTTTTGGGTTTAAAGGTAAAGGCACCCTGTGCAGTCTCCTAAAACATTACCAAAATGAACTTGAGAAGCTCAACATCCTCTGAATCACCCTCTTCCCAAGGGGAATGTGCCTCCTACATCCCCAAAACTCCCAGAGGGTTATTTCATGCATTTAGGAATGAGGCAGCCACATGGATGTTTGGATTCCTCTGAAAAACACAGCTATGGCTTCTGTGTTCCGTGGTGTTTGTGTGGCTTCCACAAGGGACGTGTCACCACTGTCCTGCATCCCGTCAGGTTTCTGACCACCCACTCCCTACACGGGTGTGAAGAGCACCAGGTACCCCAGGGTGAAATTACAGGCACCACATAAAAGGAAAAGCTGATTCCCCTTCAGGAAGCCCCAAGGAGGCTCATTCCCAAGCTGTGACCCTTCCCAGTGCCGATTTCATTCCCGTTACCTGCTGCAGGTCCAGCACACGTGGCTGCACCCATGTCATGTGCACCCTCTTGTCCACCTCGTCAATGCTGCCCTTCACCAGGCCCACCGAGAGCGCCTTCATCACCAGCAGCTCCACCTGGGAACAGAAACAATTCAAGGAAAATGACTCAGATCATCCAGTTTTCTCCCCTGAGACGAACAAAACCTTCACTTGGCGCCTTCACAGCAGACTGGTCACACGCAGAGTCCAGGGCAGCAGCTCTCACTGCCCCCCTTTCAGATGACAGAACTGCCTTGAGACTCGGTATCTCAACGTACAGGAGGGAGCTCTTTTCCCCAAAACCAGATCGGTTTTCTTTTCTCTGAAATCCCAGGAAGAACGAGGCAATTGGAAAAAGCCAACAGAGCCGAAGCACCCCCAGGCAGCAGGAACAGGGGTCTGGCCAGATGGTGGGAGTCGGGCTCTTCTCCCAGGGAACAAATGACAAGAGGAAGTGACCTCATGCTGTGCCAGGGGAGTTTCAAGTTGGACGTCAGGAGGAATTTCTTCATGGAAAGGGTTGCCAGGCACTGTCAGGGGCTGCCCAGGGCGGTGGTGGACGCCCATCCCTGGAGGTGTCCATGGAATGACTGGCTGTGGCACTCAGTGCTCTGGGCCAGGGGACGAGGAGGGCATGGGGCACAAGTTCTCAGTGATCTTGAAGGTCTTTTCCAACCTCAGTGATCCTGGGATTTCGTGTGACTCAAGTCTAGCCAGACACTCTTAGAGCTCCCAAACCAGGACGTTACTAAGTTTGTCTGACCCCAAACTCACCTCGTTGACGGTGACTTTGGCACTCTTGGCAATCTCCTCGAAGGTGAGCTGTCGGTGATTGGCTGGGCGGGTGAAAGTCATCTGAGTCCAGGGAACAGAGCAAAAAAACAAACCCCACGGGGTTTTAGTGTTTCCCACAGCACACAGAGCCTCCCTTGTGCTGCCCTGCCCAGTCTCACTCTGCATCCACAACTGCATTTCTCATATTTAACTAAAATAAGTCAAATAAAGTCTAACTTCCAGAGTTATCACTCCAGACATCATCCCTGAGATACAAGGCTTCCTCTGCCCCTCTTCCATATCAGAGAATCCCAGAATGCTTTGGGTGGAAGGGACCTTAAAGCTCATCCCATTCCACCCCCTGCCGTGGGCAGGGACACCTTCCCCTGGACCAGGTTGCTCCAAGCCCCATCCAGCCTGGCCTGGAACACTTTCAGGAATGGGGCAGCCACAGCTTCTCTGGGCAACATCCCAGCTCACCTCCATGAGACACAGCAGCTGGATCTTCTGCAGCAGGAGCGCTTCGTTTGCAGCCAGGTCAGGCTGTGGGGGGAGAAAATGCACCACATCAGGTCATTATTGCATTTTCCCCTCAACCTGGGGGAGAGCAGCTTGTTATACACAGGAGTAAATCCCTGAGGGGGCTTTATTTAGGAGGGAGGAGGCCATCACAGCCCAGCCACCACCTGGGAACGGTTCCAGAAAACAAATCCCAGGGACTGCACACGAAGCACAGACCTCACCAGGCAGGCAGCCTGTCAAGGGCCAGTGGACTCACAGATCCACCTGCAAACTACTGCTGTGTCAGTAATTGCTCGTGTAGCCAGTGCAGGTAACATCCAACACCACTGTTTGCCACACACTTCCCAGAAAAGGAGGGAAAAACCACTCTTTTCCACTGGAACACTCCTGTTACGGAGATTAAATCTGGGATTATTTGGCTGTGCAGGACATTTGTGTGTGCTCTGCCCTTGGATCACAGGAGATTTCTCTCTATTTCTTTCCATCAACCAGAGGGGAGCCAAAGGAAAACTAATGATGTGTATCATGATGAAATAATTCCCATACCCAAGTTAGAATTATACCAGTGCACCAGAGCCAGGAATTAGGTAAAGGTAGTAAAGTAGAGGTCCAGAGGCTCCAAGTGGGCTCTGTAAACCCTGGGCTTGGGCCTTCAGCAGTACAACACCCCTCACCTGCTGCCCCCAGGCCGACTTGAGGGCCTGGAAGGTCTCCACGTTGCCACTGTTGAAGGCAAAGAGGGTGTCGATGAGCCACTGCCGGTCTGTGCTCCTCAGGGACTCCAGCACGGGGTGCATGAGCTGCAGGAACCAGGCAGGAGGGCGTTAGCAGGGTAAAATCAGCTCCTGAGGCTCCGTGGAGGAATGTGGCAGGACTTACCAGCTCCCCAAAGTTGTAAACACCTTCTCCCAGCAGCCCGGCCAGCCCCAGGGTGAAGGCTCTCTCCTGCTGCTCTGGTACTGGAAAAAAAACCCCAACAAACAGACCAAAAACAGTTTGGATGAAGAAAGACGCCAGAACAAAGATAATTTGGGTAAAGCAGCAGTTTAAGCCCCAGCAACCCCTCCCTCATCCTTCTCTGTGCCTGCATTAAACCATTCCCAGCCCTCACCCTCTCCCAAGCCTGAAATTCAGGAGCCTGCAGTAACCACAGCACAAAAGCACCACTTTTGGAATCCAGAGTGAAGATTTTTGGGGAATTAGAACTAACTCCCCCTTCTGGCAGGGGCATTCCCCCCTCCCATCACCCTGGGGCAGCTTAGGAGCAGGATCCTGGGTGGGGTCACCGCTCGATCCAGCCAGACCTCGGATCCACCACGGCACAGCCAAGACAACACGGAGAAAAACCTCTGCCAGGGCGTTTATTTGATAAAGCAGAGCGTGGAAAGTGGGATTTTCCATGCAGAGGAGTCACCTGGCAGGTCCTTGACCTCGATGCAGCCCAGGAAGCGCAGAGCATCCTTGTAGTAGGCGGCGTGGTTCCCCACCGTCTGGTAGTACTTGCTGGAGAGGTCGTAGAAGCGGCTGTGCACCGAGGTCACCCCGGGCAGGGTGTTCAGCAGCTCCTCCACCTCCTCGATGGTCTCCTGGGGGCAGGGGGAGACCTGTCTTTGTAAAGGGCAAGGAGCACCCGGCGCAGCACCGGGATCCCGGGCGAGAGGGTCACGGCGTTCCCGGGTGCTGCCCAGGGCAGGAGTGACACCCACCCCGCCAGTATCAGCACAGCCAAAGCCACCACCACGGGATTTATGCATGTATTTATATGCTTGTTTAAAAATATAGCAGCAGTCTCCCTTCACACAGTAGTGAGAGGGGGAAAAAAAAACCAAAAACCCCACCCCTAAACCAACCCGGCAGCTATAATTATATACACTAAGGGCTTTAAACTGAAAGAAAAAGGTTTGGGTGGGATTTTGGGATAAATCCTTCCCTGTGAGGGTGGTGAGGACCTGGCACAGGTTGCTCAGAGAAGCTGTGGCTGCCTCATTGCTCAAGGACAGGTTGGATGGGGGTTGGAGCAACCTGGGATAGTGGAAGGTGTCCCTGCCCATGGAACTGGATGGTCTTCAAGATCCCTTCCAACATAAACCATTCCAGCATTCCATGGTACACACACCCAAAGCCATCACTCTGCGCTTGCTCTAGGAGATATAAAGCTGCCCTGCATGAAAAACCTCATTTGGGGTTTAAAAGATGGTTCCAAAACAAGTCAAGGACGACAAACCCCACGTGCTTCGCTCAGGCAGCAACACTCCAGGTCACCAGGAGCAGCTCCCACATCCTGGGGAGGCTCACGAGAGCCTCTGAGCTGGGAGCTAGGACAATCAAGGAATGCCACAGCACCCCAAAACCTCCCATCCCGGGCCACCCCTCACCTTGGTGACCTGTAGGTCCCCGATGTTGAGCTTGAGGGCCCCGATGGCTGTTTTGCACAGGATCACGGCCTCATCGCTGCTCTTCACCTGCAGGGACACGGGGGGACCTGCTGGGAGTGTCACCTGCAGCCAGGTGGCTGGGACAGGGCTGGGTGCACATATTCCTGCAGTAAAATCCCTGGATTCTACAGCACAGGTGTCACACACACAGACCGGAGCCTCCTCACCCACCGGTGAACTGCCACAGGGAACAGCTTCAGACATACCTTTTCCCGAGTCTTTTCCAGGAAAGTCAGGGCCACGTTGGGATCTGGAGTAGAGAAAAAACAGATTTTAAAAAGCAGCAGTGCCAGGAGGTCCCGTGGAGCTGAACTTCCCCTAAAAATACGTCGTTCACTGGATTCCTGAGGGCTGGAATGTGTGTTTTCCACAGTGCGCCCTCAACCTGCAGCACGTGCTGCCAGGTAGGCCGGGCTTTTCCTCACCAACCACCTCTCCGGGGAAGCTGTGGACTTCCTACTCCAGGAGGCAGCAGCAATCTAAGCTTTCCAAGCCAGTGCTTTCCCTTCCAAGAGCACCAGGGCAGTAACTCCCCATTCAAGATTCACCCGTGCTGGCCACATTCCACAGGGATCAGGGGCTAAGAGCAGCACAGGGAGAGGGTGAGGACACGCACCTGTCATCTGTCGGACCACGTGCAGGATGATCTCCACCAGGGACAGGGGGTTCACCCTGCAAAGAGCAGCTCGAGGTCAGCACAGGACCTCAAGGTGACCCCCAAGCCCCCCCCCCAGGTGACCCCCAGGTGACTCACCTGTGCTCAAACTCGCTGATGAAGTTCTCGTAGAGCTGTGGAGACAAGGAAAGGGACACTCAGGGCACAGGAAACCCCAGTTCAGAGCTTCTCAGTCTTATTTCCTCTCCATTCCAGCTCTTTTGAACATCCCTGGAAGTGTCCAAGGCCAGGCTGGACAGGGTTTAGAGGGACCCAGGCTAGTGGAAGGTGTCCCTTCTAGGGACAGTGGAGCATGATGATCCTTAAGGTCCCTTCTAACCCAAACCATTCCATGATTTTTCCAACAGCCTGGGCATCCCATACAGAAATTCCAGCACTGTGCAGAATCCAGGAGCCCAGAACTACCCATTTTAGCTCCTCCCAGCTCCAAGGAGGGACCTGAGAGAAGCATCTGTGAACACCCAACACTCCACCCTGCACCTGGCAAACCCCTTGTTACAGAAGGGAGTGGAAAAAAAAAATAAAAATCCCCTCGCATCTCCCAAATGTAAAAAACTTAAAGTGAATGAAAGTAAAGAACGACTTCGAAGGTTACAAAAAACTCGACACATTTAATTTTAACCGGATTTTCACGCAGACTCTGCAGGCTTGTGGGAGGTGAGTCCACCCGGGACAGCGACTCTCCAGGAGGATTATTACAGAGATGAGTTTTTACAGGCTGAGTTTTGCCCGGTACAAACCCCCCCCCCCATCCCCGTGCCACGGGAAAATCCCACACCCGGGAATCCCCCCCACCTCACCTTGATGAGCCCATCGCCCTGGGCGAAGCAGGGGTCCTGCACGAAGTCCAGCACCTGCAGAGTGAGCTGGTGCCACAGCCTGGGGACACAAAACACCCGCCGTGAGACACCGGGAACAAACACTGGGAGCAAACACCGGGCATCCCCCCCCACCCCCGTCCCCGCGCTCACTTCTTGTTGTAGAGCTCCTCGAGGCGGTGCCACACGGCGGCCTGGCCCGGCCCCGCGCTCTGGCTCTGCTGCAGGAATCCCGGCACGTCCTTCATGGCGGCGGCGGCAGCGGCGGCGGCGGCACCGGGACGGGCCGGAGGGAGCGGCGGGACCGGGGCAAGGAGGCCGCGCCGCCGCCGGGGCTGCGCACTCACTTCCGCCCGCGCGGGGCACGACGGGTACCGTAACGCCCCGCGCCCGCCGCCGCCGCGCACCCGCTTCGCAGCGGGCGGGGGGGGGCGGTACCGCAACGCCCCGCGCTCGCCTCACGCCGCTACCGTAACGTCCCGCGCCCGCCGGTACCGCGCACTCGCTTCGCGGAGCTACCGTAACGCCCCGCGCCCGCCGGCGCCGCGCACTCACTTCACTCCGCCACCGTAAATGCCCCTCGCACTCTCGCTTCACGCCGCTACCGTAACGCCCCGCGCCCGCCGGCGCCGCGCACTCAGTTCACTCCGCCACCGTAAATGCCCCGCGCACTCACTCAGCTACCGTAATGTCCCGCGCACTCTCGCTTCTCGCCTCTACCGTAATGCCCCGCGCATTGGCGGCGGTGCGGTAGCGGCGATGAGCGGGCCGCGGGGCCGCGGCGCGGGGCTGCTGGCGGCCGGTGAGCGCCGGGGGCCGGGGGAAGCCCCCCGGGGCCGCCGGGACCCCCCCTCTCAGCACCGCTCCGCTCTCTTGCAGCGGCGTGGAGGAGCCTGTGGGAGCGCGGCCCCCGCCGCGGCGGCGGCGGCGGCGGAGGGAGCGCGGCCCGGCCCGGGCGGCGCGGCGGGGGCGGGACGGGGGTGCCCGGCACGGAGGTGCCCGGCGGCAGAGCGGGGAGGTACGTGGGGGGGCCGGGGTGGGGGCTGCAGCCGGGAAGGGGAGGGTGGGGATCGGTGGCGGCGGGGAAGGTCCCGCGGGAGGTGCGCCCGTGATGGAGGATGTCGTGTCCTTGGCAAACCGGGCGGGTGGGACATCGCTCCCTGGAAGCAGGGCTGGTAGTTTGGAAAGCAGGGATTGAGCAGGGGAACGTCAGTGTTTTACGAGGTTGGGGGTTCAGCTCCTCGGGAACCCCGTCTGACAGGGCAGAGCCACGTCCCTGTGACAGCAGGGAAAGGCAGTGCAGTGTCACATCCCTGGGAAGGCACTGTCACATCCCTGGAAAGGCAGAGCCTGTGACGTCCCTGCTATCACGTCCCTGTGACAGCAGGGAAAGGCAGTGCAGTGTCACGTCCCTGGGAAGGCACTGTCACATTCCTGTGACAGAAGGGAAAGGCAGTGCAGTGTCATGGCCCCGGGAAGGCAGAGTTGACCACACTGAGGCCAGGAGACACTTCCAATGTCATTGCTTCCAGTCTCCACTTCCAGCCCCTGTCACTGTTCTTTGGGCTTGCCAAGCCCCCCCCAAGCTCTCCCCACGCCTGCTCTGGACTGTGCACAATGCCCTGCTCCAGCAGCACTAATTTTCTGGGAGAAGCTGTTCCCTGCTGATTATGCCTGTTCCCAAACCGCTAATGACTGTTCCCAAGCTGATAATGACTGTTCCCAGCCCAGCCGGGAACAGGGCTGTGATTCCTTTGGGCATGGACACATGGAGCTCTCCCAGGGCAGAGGAGGGGAACGGAGAAATGACAGTGTCTGTGCTCACCTGGGCAGGGTGACACATCACCCCGATAGAAATTTGTTGAACTCAGGACAGTCTCCTGGATCCCAGAGTGGTGGGACTGGTGATTCCCAGTGCTGCTGCTCCCACAGCCCTGTGTCCACCCATGTCCGAAAAAACCCTCTCAGGGGAATACCAGGGATGTATTTTAGATCCACGTAAGGGAGCGCAGAGGGACATGTCTGCTCCTGGGTTTGGGTCAGACTAGCAGCCAAGCTTTCTCCTAGTGAAGCCCTAGCACAGTCCTGCCCGTGGAAGAGCTTTCTGTGGAATTTTTGGGTGTTTTTCTCCCCCAGAGCCAAGGTTGCTGTCAGTTCTCTCAGGGCACACCTGCTGTGCTTCCCCCCCGTGCCGAGCAGGATCCAAGGCTCCAGGCCCTTCTCTCTGAGCGCGGCTGCCAGAGCCATTTTGGGCCGGGGCAGGTGGGGAGGTGACGAGGGGAAGGAGAAACTCACCTTGAAGGACGTGGCCGAGCTCCTCCGGAAGAAGGAATGTCGCCGTGTGGTGGTGATGGCCGGAGCCGGGATCAGCACACCCAGCGGCATCCCAGACTTCAGGTGATGCCTCTTTGTCCTTTGCCAGTGCTGAGAGGGCCAAGTCTTCTCCATGGAAAGGGTGGTTGAACATTGGAAGGGGCTGCCCGGGGAGGGGGCAGAGTCCCCATCCCTGGAGGTGTCCAAGGAACGACTGGACGTGGCACTCAGTGCTCTGGGCTGGGTGACAAGGTGGTGATCGGTCACAGGGTGGGCTCGATGACCTTTAGGGGCCTTTTCCAACCTAAATGATCCTGGGATTCTGTCTCCAGCCCAGGTTAACGCTGGTGCTGCAGCCCCTCCCAGCTCCCCCCTGTCCGTGCAGGTCCCCCGGGAGCGGCCTGTACAGCAACCTGGAGCAGTACGACATCCCGTACCCCGAGGCCATCTTCGAGCTGGGCTATTTCTTTGTCAACCCCAAGCCCTTCTTCACCCTGGCCAAGGAGCTCTACCCCGGCAACTACCGCCCCAATTCCGCCCACTACTTCCTGCGGCTGCTGCATGACAAGGGGCTGCTCCTGCGCCTCTACACCCAGAACATCGACGGGCTGGAGAGACGTGAGTTCCCTCTCCCAGCAGCACCACCAGGAAGAGCTGGGGGGAGAAGCAGGACTGGGGAGATGCGCACAGGGAGCGTCCGGCTCAGTCCTCTCCCACATGCTGTATTCCAGTGGCTGGGATCCCTCCCGACAAGCTGGTGGAAGCCCACGGCACCTTTGCCACTGCCACCTGTACGGTGTGTAAGAGGAACTTCCCCGGGGAGGACTTCAGGGTGAGTGGGCCCAGCCGGGCATCAGCACAGCAGTTAACACTAGGAGGCATTAGTTGTTATAATAATGACAAGTCCTCGGCCTGCTCTTTTGCCCTGGAAACAAGAGGGGATGAGACTCTGAGCTGGGCATTGCTGTGAGGACACGTGGTGGTTTCTGACCCCACGTGATGAGCGGTTTTGGGGTCTCTCCTTTCAGGGGGATGTCATGGGGGACAGGGTCCCTCGCTGCCCCGTGTGCACCGGAGTTGTCAAGCCTGACATCGTGTTCTTTGGTGAGGAGCTCCCACAGCGCTTCCTCCTGCACCTGGCAGACTTCCCCCTGGCAGACCTGCTCTTCGTCATTGGGACGTCCCTGGAGGTCTGGGAACAAGGGGAGCCCCGGGGGGAAAAGGCGCACGGAAAACAGGGGCTCCGGAGGGGAGAGAGGGCTTAGAGGAGAAGGTGAGAAACTGGGTTTAGGGAGGTGAAATTTGAGGTGGAGGGTAAGAAATAGGGTGCAGGTGCTCCGAGAGACCCTCTAGAAACCAGGAGGGCACCTGGAGAGCCTTGGGGCCACCTCAGGAAAGGCCACCGGGTGACACCGTGACCCATCCAGAGCCGGGGTGGCTGAGCCCGCAGTGGGGGAACCGTCACACTCAGCAGTTCTGAGCCTGGAACTGGTTGGCTGTGGCAGGGTGACGGTCCCCCTGCCCTCCCGGTTCCCCCCTCAGGTGGAGCCCTTTGCCAGCCTGGCCGGAGCCGTGCGCAGCTCCGTGCCCCGGGTCCTCATCAACCGGGAGCTCGTGGGCCCCTTCGTGTGGCAGCAGCGCCACAACGACGTGGCCCAGCTCGGGGACGTGGTCGGGGGCGTCGAGAAGCTGGTGGAGCTGCTGGGCTGGAACAACGAGATGCAAACGCTGATCCAGAAGGAGAAAGAGAAGGTGGGAAGGGGCTCCAAGCCCCACCTCCTCCCCCAGCCTTTGCGTTCCCTGTGCCGGAGTTATCCCGGGAGCGTGTTTGTGCTTGCTGAGGTTGCCTGCTGTCTGCCTCCACAGGGAAGGACTGCAGCAGGGCTAAAAAAACCCAAACCAACCCAAACCTGAGTGCTGTTTCACAGCCAAGGTGCCAGAGCAGAGCGCTGTGGGCTGAATGTGTCCGTGGTAGACAGGAAGATGCAGATATGCTAGTCCCAGATGAAATAGGAATGTGGAAAAGGGCAGGATTTTGGCTTTGATAATTTCTTTCCCTGTGCCATTCTCACATCTGTAAACTTCTGGGATCTTCAGGAGTGAGAAATTGCAGGGGAGCAAGTCCTTAATTATTAGAGCTCAGTGCTGCTCTTAATTACTGCATTGCTGTAGGCCACTGGGAAGATTTTTCCACATTTGACATCAAACAGTTGTGTTTTTTAGGGATACACTGCCCATACGTGACTTCTTCATAAAATCTGGCTCCAAGATTCCAGTCTTAACATCCAGGTTGTTCTTATTTTCATCAGATCATGAGGCAGGAATTGAGTAGTAATTCTTAGTCTTTTGGCCAGGTTTCTGAATTTTTGGTACAAACGTTCTGGGGTCCACCCAGCCCTTGGCTTGATGCTTGTGCTGCTCTGAATCCCTGATGGATAATGCTGATAAAGCAGGAAAACTAAGGCCAGGTTGGACAGGGCTTGGAGCAACCTAGTCTAGTGGAAGGTGTCCCTGCCCATGGCAGGGGGTGGAACGAGATGAGCTTTAAAGTCCCTTCCAACCCAAACCATCCTGGGATTCTGGGATTCTGTGATAGCTGCGGGGATGGTGCTTGGAGCTGGAATGTTTGATGCTGCCTGGCAAACGCTGTGATCTCCCTGTTTTCAGCTGGATGCAAAGGACAAGTAGGACGGTGCTCCTGCCACCCCTCAGCACATCACTTGATGATGTCCAGCCATAAATGTCACCAGCAAGTGGCAGGGTGCTCGTGCCAGCACATCCAGCGAGCTCCGTGTCTGCAGCTGGCTGTTTGGATCTCCCTCCTTCCCAGCTGTCCATCCCGGACACCCTTACTGGGCCTGGTTCTAGGGAGCAGGAGCTGGAATCCCAGGAGCCTGGAGCAAGTTTTCCAGCTCCCACTGGACTGAGCATCCGAAGTCTCTCACAGCTCCTCCCCAGCCACTGTTCCCTTGGCCACGATCCTGAGCTGCTGCAGACTGTGTTTGTTCTTCCATGAAATCTCTGCTAATCAGGGTACAGTTTAGGGGCGGGGGGGCTGCCCCCCATTCCCATGCCAGCTCAAGCTGCTGCAGGATTTCTGAATCACTAGAGTGTTAATTATTTAATAATAAAGAGATATAATTCATTTCTGGATGTCACCTGAGGGGTTTTCTGTAAAGTCACACCTTCCTTGGGGTTTGAGCATGTTCTGTCCCCACACCTCCTTTCACCTGCTTTTCAGTACATTTTTTTTCCTTTTTCCCCTCACACAAGTGCCTTTCCCTGCTCTAGATGCCACCCTGAGGGGTGGCATTACCACAGCCCTGCAGCCATGTCCTGCTCTGTCCCAAACCTGCCACAACACAATGCAGAGCCTCCTGGCACATGGATCCACACTGAAAACGCTGGGGACTTGTTTTTAACCATACCCTGCTTCCCAAAAAAACCAATTCCATGATTCTGTGAATGCCTCATGCAAAGTGCCCTGTGCCAAGCTCAGCCCCTGCTCCGGGGCATTCCAGGCCAGGCCTGGCAGCTGCTCTGAGGGATTTAAAGCACTCTGGAAAATTAAAACAACAATATCAGAGGTAATTGCATTAAAAACACCAATCCCCCCTTTTCCTTTTGCACGGAAAGCTTGGGAGAGCTTCAACAGCTGGGAAGGGATCAGGATCTGTGTCTGCACCCAGAAGGGCTGTGGTGGGTTTTTTGCTAGTTAAAAAAAAAAAAGGAGAAAGATGCTGTTGGCCCAAAACCTCCCACTGTGACAGAGCGGGGCTGTGCCAGCCCAGCAGCCCAGCCGTGACCCTTGGGGGTCAGTTTTACATCAATTACTGGCACTTCAACCATTACCATTCAACCATTAAGAATTCAAACAATTCTTAATCACTGAGGAGCTAAACAGAATCCCAGAATCATCTACATTGGAAAAGACCTCCAAGATCATCGAGTTCACCCTGTGACTGATTTCCACCTTGTCTCCCAGCCCAGAGCACTGAATGCCACATCCAGGCCTTCCTTGGACACCTCTAGGGATGGGGACTCCACCACCTCCCTGGGCAGCCCCTGCCAATGTTTAACCACCCTTTCCATGAGGAAGTTCTTCCTGATGTCCAACCTGAACCTCCCCATGTGCAACTTGAGGCTGTTTCCTCTCATCCTGTCCCTTGTTCCCTAGGAGCAGAGCCCGACCCCCCCTGGCTCTCCTCTTCTATCAGGGAGTTGCAGAGCCAGAAGGTCCCCCCTGAGCCTCCTTTGCTCCAGGCTGAGCCCCTCCAGCTCCCTCAGCCTCCTGGTGCTCCAGCCCCTTCCCCATCTCTGTTTCCTTCTCTGGACACGCTCCAGCATCTCCTTCTGGGCCATGAGGGGCCCAGAGCTGGACACAGCACTGGAGGCACCTCAGGAGTGCCCAGCACAGAGGGAAAACGGAGCCAAGCACCTCTCCAGCTCTTCCCCTCCAAGACCACGCTCAGAAACACCCCCAGCTCCTAAAGACACACAGGCAGGAACACCTGGGAACACCTCTGCCATGGGTTCCCAGGGATTTCCTTGCGGTCGAGGAATCACGGCCACATGCCCACGTGTCAGGTTGGCTTTATTCAAGCGTCACTTGTGCATTCCTACTCGTGACAGGACATTTGGGAACTCGGGTACATGAGACGGACGGGAAGGTTTTCTTTCAAAAGAAAACAGAAGTAAAAATAAAGACAAACCTACACCAGGCCTGAGAGCAGCCCCCGGGGGACAGAGAGGCCCGGGGACAGCGAGGAGGAGCGAAGGACAGAGCACAGGTGTTGGCCTTTCCTTTGGAAAGCGGGATTTGGGGAGAGGTGAACGCCCAAACCCAACTGGCTGGTGACAGGGACAGTGCCCAGTGCCAGGGAAGGGCCCTCGGAGCGTTCCTGGCAGCCACCCACATGCTCTCTCCCATGGCCAGTGGGATGCTGGAAGCTTCCTCAAAAGCCTCACTCAAGTTTCCCTCTGTTCGCCCACGCGCTCCAGGTGCACACGGACACTGGTGCACTGGGACACAGCCTCCTGCACCACACCCTGCGGATCCCACTCCCCAGGAGCTGCCGTGATCCATGGCCCACACCCCTCTCCGGCAGACCCCCCACCTTCCCATAGCATTCCCGGGGAGCAGCCCCCCACTGTGGGGCCGGGCACACGCAGGAGGCTCCGCGGATCGATGGACCCCGATGGAGTGGCAGGAAGAGCCTCTCCCTGACCCTTCTTCCCAAACAGCACGCATTTAAATAAAAAAATCCTACTGGAAAGTCCCGGAAGCGATTTGGAGTGTGAAATCCTGAAGGCTGCCGACAGGAGAGATCAAGGTGGAGCCAGGCCACGGAGACCTCTGGAAGGAGAGGTGGCTATGGAGCTGGGAAGGAGGCAGGTGTTCCGTGTGGTGGGCTGTGAGGGATCCAGGCTGGATATGGACCCCGCAGGGAGAGTCCTGGCCCAGTGCCAGCCTCTGGGTGCAGCACCAGTTCCCGAGGGAGAGTGGCTGGAGCCCAGCTCTCCATGGCTGGGGCGGGAGCCGGGTCAGTCCAGCCCCAGGTCCGAGTCGGACGACGAGCGCTCGTCGGCCATGTTGCGGATGGCGTTTTCCATGGGCGCCAGGTTTCCGCTCGGAGTGATGCCCATGGGCTGGATCACCTTCTCCCTGCAGACAGGAAAGGTAAGGCAGAGCTGTCTGAGAGCAGGGGAACAGACCAGGAATGCAGTAGGAATGTGGGGCTTGTGGAAATGGCCCGGAATACCCCAGGCACCACTAAGGATCCCTTCTGAGAAATGGGGACAGTCCCAGCCCTAAAACCTCCAGCATGGCGAGGCAATAGCTGGAAGCACAATCCACAAACAATACCATTCCCATGCTCAGGTTCCCTGGAACAGGCTCATTTCTAGAGTCCTGTTCTGTGTGGTTCAGGATTCCCACAGGAAAACTAGCACGGGTGTCTGTGTTCCTCTCCCCCTAACACATGATGGGAGTACATGTGTTACTTCCCTCCCTTCCTGAACTCACTGGGCTCCTCCGGAGCACCTGTGAAAGATGGATGAGAGATGACTGGAGAAAGCTTTCCAGCAGAGAAAGGGGCTGGTGGCACTGGCTGCTGTCTGTCCCCAAAATGCTGCTTCCTCCTGAGCAGCCTGGCCAGGACCGAGACCGCTGTCCTTCCTGAGTTCCTGGACAAACATGGCAAGCAGGTGTTTGGGAACAGAGCAGGCACAGCAAGGAATTTCGCAGTGTCCCATCATGCCAAAGCTGAGGGAAGAGTTTCTCCAGGTATCCCCACCGCTCCCTCTCCTAAGTGCCTTCAGGCCTTGGGAATGCAGCCAAAGGAAGGCCTGTGATAGATGTACCCCCCATGGACACACACCCACGCCCCAGTACCTGGACAACTTGTCGAACATATTGACCAACTTCATGGCTTCGTGCTCCTTCTGCTCCTCTGTCATCCCTTCCATGGGGTTGGGAAGCTTCTCCTCCACACGGCCCGTCACGGGGTTGATGCTGCGCGGACAACAGTGAGGTCAGGGCACGGGAGAGGGGACAGCAGGGGGACAAAGGGCTGTTTGGGATCCTCCTGTGCCTCATGGAGCAGAGGAATGGCACGGCAGGGCTGGCTGTCACCTCTGCTCGTGTCCTTAGTGCCCAAGTGCCATCACAGTTCTACGGGGGCTTCCAACCTACATCCTTAAAAACCCTGCTCATTTCTCCAGCAGGAGCAACACCCCCTCCTGCCAATGCCACAGTGCCACTGGAAACCGGCTGCACAAGGCCAGGTGACACTTCCTCCCTCTCCTCAAGGCTGGAGGCAAAAGCTAATGGAGAAAATCCCAAGAAACCCAACCTGCAGAGACACTGAAAAGGAAGCTGGTGAGTGCGAGATACACAGGTGGGCACAGGCCTGGGGCTGTCCCCACACACCTCCCACCCTCCAGATACCACCCACTGCAGAGTAAAAGAGAGGGAAAGGCAAAAAAGAGGGAAGGGAAAAAGAGAAGCCAAAAACCAGCTGGGTGCAACAGCACTGGGTTCTGGAGAGGGAGAGGAGCCATGGGCACATGGAAGAGCAGGACAGGGAGGTGGCAGGCGGCAGATGGAGAGGGATAGAGCAGGAATGGGAAGAAGACGTGGACAGAGGGGTGCTCTAGAGGGGGAGCAGACTTCTTTACTTGGGCTTTGCCTCTTTGTACTCCTCCGTGTCTGTGTCTTCATCCTCTGAGTACTCCCCCTCTTCCCGGCCGCCGGCCATGAGGCCCCGCGCCGCCAGCAGCCCCGCAGCGTTCCCGTACCCCGTGTATTTCACAAACCGGGACACTGCCGGGAGAAGGACAGAGACCACGCTGTGCTCCCCTCCCGCCTCCAGCCCCACGGTCACCCCGGGCCATGGAGACCCAGGGACACTGACAGGGGGACAGCAGCCACGGGTGGGAGGCTCAACGTGGGCCAGGCTGTCTGCAGGGTGCTGGGGTGGCCTGAGCACAGCTTGTCCCTCACTGCTGGCCTGAGAGACAGCACCGCCTTCCCACAGAGCTCCTGGAACCCTCCCCTTTTCCCTGTCCCCAGGGAATGCAGAAGCTCCGCAGAGGGTCCCCATCCCACGCGCTCTGGCTCTCCCAGAGCCCACGTTGAGGGTCCCCCCGTCAAAGCCCCCCAAGGCCCCAGGACTCACCGCTCTCCTTGCAGAGCACAAAGAGGAACTCGGCGGCGCAGTGCTTGACGTCGGTGTCGATGTGGGTCATGAGCCGCACCAGCTTGTTCCGCAGGGAATTCCCCACCTCCGGCCGGTTCCGCACATCCCGCAGTGGTGGCAGCACCTGGGCATGTGGGAGAAACATTGTGGGTGCCAGAGGCCTCAACCACCCACGTGAGAACCCAGAGGTTGTGTGGAGGGTGGTCATAACCAGGGGTTTGCTTGTCTCCTCTCCCCTCGGGGCAGCATCCCTGACCTTCGGGCTGAGCACAGCATACCCTGGCCTTCAGGAACTTCCTGGTCTGGCGGTGGACACGGGCACTCTCTGTCAGCAGGTTCAGCACAGGGGTCAGGCTCTCCTTCAGCTTGTGGCCCTGCAGAAACATCCCCCAAAGGAGCAGCACGTCAGTCATGCCGAGCTCAGCCTGTCTGGCTCACGCTGGAG